CTGGCAACTCTGGGCCATCTACACATTAAGCTGTTGTTGAATATGACCTCCTGCTGTGTGTTGAGGAAATTCAGTGCACTGAATGTAAGGTTTTGCATATTCCACAAGCTACAGACCTGGCAACTCTCAACAGTTGTAATGATTCAACAGTATGAAATTCAAACAGTACACACCCTAAAAGTGACACAAAGCATGAAAACGGGGTAATTTGGTGTATGGGTATCCAAGGAGAACTCAGAACCTATGATGTGATCCTTGCAGAACTTTGATGATGATCTTCTTGCCCTCTGCAGCTTCCCTGTGCTTTCTCCTTCTCACTTAGAAGTTCTTTTGCTTATCTCCTTTTTTCTCTTCTGTTCTGTATAATGCTGACATCTTATGCTTTACTGAGGTCACAGCAGCGTCCTTCCCGTTATGAACTGTAAGTCTGGACAAAATGTTCTGCTATTTGTGCTGTGAATTGGCATGGTAACATGGAACACAAAGGTCCTCTTGCATGACAGGGCCTAGCTCCCTCCCACTACAGAAACCTCTGTTATACAATCGCCTCATAAATTTATCAAATGCCATATTAAAAGCAGGTGTATTTTCCTCCCACCAATTCCAAGGAAAAGCTGTTTCAGAACTTGATTGCTGTAATGACTAAAACATTCTTCTAATTTCCTGATATATTTATTAATGAACAGTACATGTCTGTTTGTTCTTTTGTCAATATAGCCCTGGAAATGAAATGGTTTTCATCCTTCATGTTTACTTCCCTAATGTATCTATTGAGAGCACTCATATCCCCTCTCATGCTTTTGTTTTACTGAAGTAAACAAGCTGAGCCATCCTAAAATCTGTTGTACAAAAGGCTCTCAAGCTCTCCAGTGATGGGCCTAACCTCCCTCTACCCCTCTTGCTGCTCAACCTTAGCCCAGATACAGAACAGTTACTTAGAAGTTTTCACAGTACCCAAATAAGATTTCACCAGGGCCTTAATGGCATTAATACCTCCTGACTTTAAATGAAATACATCATCTGGGATATTCTCTGTACTTATACTGATTCCTAAATATATATTGCTACCAGATTTCATCAGTATGTTCTTAATGATTTTATCATGACTACTACAAAATGTAGCAAATAAAACCACCCTAATCCCAACCCTTTAAGCCTGGTATCTTCCTTTTCAACCCTATTTGTGGCTACATCACTTCACAATAACCCCCATATTCTCACTCCTTCACAGGTAATACCATACCAAATGTTTTCTCTATAGGGTATTAATACAACAGATAGAGTTTTCCTAAGACTGAGACCAGGCTTCAGGGTCACTTTTCCTCTTTTCAAAGATAAGTAATTACAGTTCAAGCTCAGCCCACCTAACTTCAAAGGGTTTGCAGAAAGCGACATGGAAAGAAAGAGTCATCTGTGACATGGCTTGCTCTCTGTGAGGTTAGATACCTCTTATCACCAAGGTGAGAGGGTGAGAATCTCAGCCAACAAGATTCTCAGTGAAGACCCTTCAGTTAAATGCCTCAAGCACAACACCAGAGCACAGTTTGCCATTATCCAGTCATAACATTCTTAACAGGCCTTAAAACACTTGCTGCTAGATTTTACCTGTCACCTGTTTCAGGAATGCAGATGCAGTCCCTTTTATCTGAAAGCATGACACCAGTGTTGCATTTTTTTCTGTTGTAGGGATTTCTGTTCTGCCATTCACATGATCCATCTCACCTTTCTCCACTAGGTGAAACTACTTTGGCAGTGAAGGCATACTTTGAATTCAGGGGATTTAACTTAGGCTCACTAGGCAATACCCCCATCTTCTGCTCTCCCATTTGTATCACTGAGAAATCTCTAAAAATTCCATATGAGTACGATACAAGCATGGCTAGTTAGTAGAAACTGGAAGTATTTTCAGCTGAAACAGGACATGTAATTATGGCAAAAATAAAACGGAACAGCAGAAAAAGCTGGTCAGTGATAATAAAGAGAGTGACATACTTTTGAATGTATTTTTTCTGTACATGTGGGAGGAAAGAATAGATTCATAAGGAGGACTAAGTCTTCCTAAAAATACTACTAAAAACTCCCATGAAATATGACACTACAAGACAACCCCTCTCACACACATTTCATACTGTACTGTCTTGTAAAATTATATTCACTTTAAGTATGTTACTACTTTATTCATTCATCAAGATCATCAAAACCCACCAGGAATAACCATTCTGAATGACAGCAGTGCTTCTTCTATACCTTCTTCTGAATATCCCAGTTGCAAAGTAAACAGTTTGCTTTTTTAAGTCAGAGAGAGAAGCGTGAGCGAGCTGAAATGCACAGGATTAGGATTTTGTTTTCTTATTCATTCTTCCCTAATTTGTTTCTAAAATATTTTTTCCTAATTTATGTTTAAAATTCTAGCAAATTGAAGCGCCTTTACCCTTATTAATTATTAGGGCATTAATTAAGTAATTAACTAATGACTATGTAGAGGTATTATAGGTGGAGTTTTAAAAAATAGGTATCGGCCTAACTTTTATAGTGTACAAAATGAAGCAAAATTACAACGAACATAAAGACCAAGCAATAATACACAGAATAATCTAACTATGTAACGACTTTTTTGCATATATTTTCTATATTTAGTTTCCAAAACTGGTGTCCTAGGCCATGAAACAGTAAGAAAAAAAACCTCACAAAACCAAATTTATATGCTTAGAATGGCACTGTTCAACACTCACATGTGATATAGCCTGGATAATGCTTAAACATTCTGTTGGGCTTGTTTAGCAAGTAGATGGCACCCCACTGTTTTCTCAGTTGTGGGGGTTTTACTATTATGCTACAGATAAAATCTGCTGTTAAACTTATTTTTAGGATTAAATTACTGTAAATGGTATTGATTCTCCTCAGGTAGATGCAACTGAGAATGTATGGCCTTGTGCAAAGTCTATAAGAAGGCACACAGTATTTACTTTTTCATGAGGATTTGCACTTAAAAAAAACCTCATTGAAAATACGCTCATAATGTGTGGAAAATGCTTATGCACAAAATAGAAAGACTTACTAAACAACTAACTTAGGGGTTTTTTCACCAGTTTTACCCTTCTGACCTCACTAATGTCATGATTTAGAATCATGGAATCGCAGAACTGTAGAATGGTTGGGGTTGGAAAGGACCTTAAGATCACCTAATTCGAACCCCCTTGCCATGGGCACGAGCACCTCAAGAACTGGATGGCCGCACACAAAGGTCAATGGCTCAATGTCCGGCTGGAGACCAGTAATGAGTGGTGTCCCTCAGGGATCGGGGTTGAGACTTGTCTTGTTTAACATCTTTGTGACATGAACAGTGGGATTGAGTGCACCCTCAGCAACTTTGCCGATGACACCAAGCTGTGTGGTTTGGTTGCTACGCTGGCGGGAAGGAATGCCATCCAGAGGGACCTTGACACGCTTGTGAGGTGGGCTGATGTCAACCTCATGAAGTTTAACCATGACAACTGCAAGGTCCTACACCTGGGTCAGAGCAATCCCAGGCACAGCTACAGCCTGGACAGAGAAGAGATTGAGAGCACCCCTGCCCAGAGGGACTTGGGGGTGTTGGTCAATGAGAAAATGAACATGAGTCGGCTTCAGTGTGTGCTCGCAGCCCAGAAAGCCAACCGTATCCTGGGCTGCATCAAAAGGAGCGTGACCAGCAGGTCGAAGGAGGTGATCCTGCCCCTCTACTCTCTTGTGAGTCCTCACTTGGAGTATTGTGTGCTGTTCTGGTGTCCTCGACATAAAAAGGACATGGAAGTGTTGGAAGAAGTCCAGAGGAGGGCCACGAGGATGATCAGGGGCTTGGAGCACCTTCCGTATGAAGGCAGGCTGAGAAAATTGGGGCTATTCAGCCTGGAGAAGGCTGCGTGGAGACCTCATAGCAGCCTTCCAGTATCTGAAGGGGGCCTACAGGGATGCTGGGGAGGCACCCTTCATTAGAGACTATAGTGATAGGACAAGGGGTAACTGGTTAGAACTTAAACAGGGGAAGTTTAGATTGGATATAAGGAAGAAATTCTTTACTGTGAGGGTGGTGAGGCACTGCAATAGGTTGCCCAAGGAAGCTGTAAATGCTCCATCCCTGGTGGTATTCAAAGCCAGGCTGGACAAAGCCTTGGGTGACATGGTTTAGTGTGAGGTGTCCCTGCCCATGGCAGGGGTGTTGGAACTGGATGATCTTAAGGTCCTTTCCAACCCTAGGTATTCTATGATTCTGTCACCCAAGGTTCTGTCCTACCTGGCCTTGAACACTGCCAGGGATGGAGCAGTCACAGCTTCCCCAGCCAGCCTGTTCCAGTGCCTCACTGCCCTTGCAGTAAACAATTTCTTCCTTATAGGCAACCTAAATCTCCCATTTAAGTTCAAACCCAATCATGTATAAAATAATTTCCCATTTGTCACCATTTATGACATGTGCTATATGCCTTATCAAAGCCGTAAACTGGTCATCCTCATCCTGAAAACTAGCACTGTTTGAACGCCAGATCCCAGGTTTTTGAGGGAGATCACATCAGCAATATGACCAACACCCTGTAATGGGGCCAGCTGCACGGGCAAAACCAACAGCAAATAGTGAAGCCCGAAAACACGCAGCTCTAGCAGTTGGGGCCTTGCCCTCCCCTCCGGCGCCCCTACTCGCACGTCGGCCAAAATCGCCTCGGGGCCTCTCGGCCTGAGATGCTTTGTGGGGCAGGGACGACCGAAGCGAGCACCGAGCAATGCGGAACAGGCTTCTTACATCAAACTAGGCCTGGCCTTGCCAATCCCGCAAGCACGCCAGGCCGGGGCTGGACCATGCGCAGCACCCCCAGCCACCGGTGAACCCCACCGCCCATGCGCAGCCGTGCGGAAGGTGGCTCCGCCTCGCCTGTGGCAGGACGGAAGTTGGGAGGTTGTTCATTTCCGTACGCGCTGCTCGGCTAGGGGCTGAGACCCTGGGTCGTTCCTCTTGACCCGGCCCCTGGAGCTTGGGGCCCGCATCTGCTCTCGCCCTGGGCCTCACGGTGCGCAGCTTCTGCCCCTGCCTGTCCCTCCTCTCCCGGCGCCAGTCGGGCCCGGGCTGAGGCGGTAGCTCCGGCCATGGTGCGGGGCGGGGCGGCGGTGTTGCGGAAGGTCAGTGCGGCCGGCCCGCGGAGCGGTGGGGACGGGGCCTGCGTGCGAGCAGCCCCGCGCAGGTAGCGCTCGGGCGGCTTGAAGGGCTGGCGGGAAGCCGCGGTCCAGCTCCGGGCCCCGCGGCCTCTTCGCTGCGGGGTGGCGTGTCGCCCCGCGGGTACGTCCGGGCCGAGTGCCCACTTCCCTTCCCCTGTCTAGCCCGCGGGTCGGCGGTTTGCGGCACAGCCCCTCGCGGGAGGCCTGTACATGTAGGGCTGAGGCGGAGTGAGATGCGGCAGGGTCCCACGCTTGCCTCCGTGGTCGCTGCCTGGGGCGCTGCAGGGCGGGCGGGTCGTGAGGGACGGCTGCCGGGGAAGATAGCTGAAACAGTTCGCTTATTAAAAGAAACAGTTCGCTTATTAAAAGACATTATCGATGGTTACGTGTCTTTTCTGAGCTTTAATTATTGCCATCAAAGTTATACAGAAGCGGTTTTACACTCATTTCTACAACAGCAAAATGTAAACAGAATTTAAGACTGCTATAAAACTTGGTCTTTTTAGTATGGCAACTTCATCGATGATTTACGGCTGTATGTGAGAGGAGGAACTGGTGGCATGGGTTATCCTCGCCTGGGTGGGGAAGGAGGAAGAGGTGGTGATGTCTGGTTCGTTGCCCAGGAAAGAATTACCTTAAAGAGCATTAGGGAGAAATACCCTCGGAAGCGATTTGTAGCTGGAACAGGAGCCAACAGCAGGTAAGGGTCTGTTTGATGGAAGCTGTTGTATGCATTTTTTCCAGAAAGCAGTTACTAAGCCTGGTTCAATTTCTCCCAGTGTTAAAGCACTAAAAGGTGACAAAGGAAAAGACTGTGAAGTTCGTGTGCCTCTGGGAATTTCAGTTCTCTGTGATGATGGCAAGCAGATTGGTAAGAATTCTTGCTCTGTTTTACTTTATCCAGTAGATCATGTCATGTTTATTGATGGCATTTAGCAGACTTTTGACACTAGGATGTTTAAGGTTACACATCTCCCAAAATACGTGTGTATTTTCTTTCAAACAAAGAGTTGACAAAAACAAAAAAACCTGTAGAAGTGGTTGGAAAAGACCCCTTCCAGAAATTAGCAGAAGTTACCTTGTACCACTTTATGCAGCAGCAAGAAAATTGCTCTTGCAAACAAGTGTTAAAGACTGGAAGCTATACTGATCCTCCACAGAATCATTAATGACCTTACTTAAATTAGGTGTCCATAAACTCGCAGTGACCCTGTAAGTACTGAATTATGACACTTGTTAAAAGATAATGATCATTGGTGTCAACTCCTCAGGTTATCTATAATACCTGCTATTCATTCTTTATAAAGAGTGGTGCTTGATAGTGACTAGGAAGATCTCTCTATACAGTGCTGTTGGAACAGATCTCAGTGTTTTCTTTGCAGTTTCTCAGAGTTTTTGTCCTCATACTGTTGAAACTAAAGTCACAGATTATTTTGATTTGGAACAAAATTTGATGTTTGGCAAGAGCAGTTTATGATGTAGGCATGTCAGCGTCTAAAGGTATCCCTGAATTATATACTCAATGTTGCATTTCATCTTATAATTATTCTAACCCTAAGGGAGATATATAGCCTGTGTCTTAATGAAAGAACATGGAACCTCTGAAGAATTTTCTGTAGCTGCATCTCTATTAATGTAGATTTTTCCTTGCATTCTTGAATTCAAGTATTGGAGGCTTCAGAACTACCATCTTTGCCATACTTTGCCTGCCTGTACTTAGCACTTTTCTTGAAGTGACTAACTATAACAGAAGGCAAAACTGGGGTGTGATTGATTTCATTTGTTTCCAAAGAAGGAAAAATACCATGACCCTAAGTGCACAGCTCTTGCAAGGAAGTGAACAGAAAGTTGTCTCTTCATTGAAGATGGATTGAAGTGTGAAGTCACAGCTGAACTACTGTGTGGGATTGTGTTTTTTCACTGTTGAATTCATTTTCAGGAGAGCTTAATGCAGCAGGAGAGAGATTCTTGGCAGCACGTGGAGGTCTTGGAGGCTGTTTGGCCACAAACTTTGTGCCTTGCAAAGGTCAGAGGCGAATTGTGCGTCTTGATTTGAAACTTATAGCAGATGTTGGCTTAGTTGGGTAAGTACTGTAGTTTGAGAACTGATACTAGAAAATAAAGTAGTAAATTTCAAATGGAATTTCAAAGGCATTTGAGGATTTGGAGGATAAGTGCTACTGTACTTTGGCATTGCCACTTAAATAACTTGCAGTTTGCAGAAATCAGAGCTTAAACCTATTAAAATTATTTTTTAAAATTTGCAAAGTACTGGTTATGCTTGTGTTTGTGAAGGGCTTCGTGAATCAGTGTAATATATCATTATTATTAATCATATTTGTCAATGATAGTGATTATTAAAATAGTATTAACTAATATTTATGAAGTAAGTAGCAGGTGCAAAACAGAGCCAAGAGCACTGTCCATATTGCATCTTTGACTTGATGGTACTGGCATAAGTGGATACTTTCAGTAGCAGTTTTAAAGAGAGCTTCAAAGGTGATGTGCCCTACTCTCCCAAATAAACAGCTTGGAAGGAAGTAATCACAAACAAGAACAGTAGGACTTGCATTTCAATGTTACTACTTTATAACATTGCAGATAAATGTATTTTCGTTTGGAGAAAGCTTTCAACAAACTACAGTTGTAAAAGTATTGTTGTAAGTACTCAGCATCTACTGCCAACCTACACCCGCCCCATGGTCCTTACTAATAAAAACCACCAGAGATGTAAAATAACAAGGAGTTTGAGGTAGAAATAGTCTAATTGGTATATACCATTAAAGAAGGGAAACTTGAAGACAGCATGGCTTTATACCTCATATTTTTTTCTTATTTAGAAATAATTCTGTTAATATCAGATTTATCTAAAGTTATATAATTTTCAAGTTGTCATCCATAATTATGTAATAGAAAATTTTTTTCTTGTTTTAGAGTATGTGAAAATACAGGAGTTTTATAACACTGGCACTTCTTTAATCTTGCATTTTGGCTGTTATTTGAGCTGACAGTATCCCTTTAAAATGAGTAAAAAGAATCACAGTTAATTAGATGAGCGTATTTTCTTGTTGAGAGTATGAATCAGCCTTCGATAGTTTGTGGCTGTACTTTGATCTCTTTGTGCTTGTTATTTTTACTTTAGGAGATTTGGAAGTGTTTTGCTATTAGATCAGGTAAAAAACATTACTGATGGGTCTGAGAAAGACCCATTAGGGTTGGGTAGGGGTTCTTACCTGTAGTGTAGGTTACAGCATACACTTCAAAGAGCATATTGTGCCTTAGTGGAAACAAAATAGTCACTTGACAGTAACCTTCCAGAATGTCTTTAAGGTACCTTTCAACATCAGAGCACATTAAAACTACCCTTGATAGTTTTCATGTGACGAGAAGAGTTATGATGTCTCTTTCTTTTTTAAGAAAGCCTGTTACAAAACCCCTTTAGAGTGCCCCGTAATGCACTACTGATCTTGTTTTTCATTTGCTCATGTTCTTATTAGTTGTCCCTGTTAACAGGTCTTGATTCTGCATGTAATCAAGTGGAGAGCATATGGTTTTCTACGTGGTGCATGCTTTTTTATCTTGTGACCAATGTTCAGTTAACTGTGGACACAAGTTTTCTTTGATCACTGTTGCACTGAAACATTGTGCTGAATAACTCTGTAAATTAGATTGGAGCATAAGTCTTCTATGATGTTCTGTATAGAACAGGTGCTATGAATAAGCACTACAGTCTATCCTTTGTTGTCAGTATAAGCTTTAAGTTTGGCATGAATCAAGGTTATGGTGTCTTTTACAATCATTAAATCTGTAAAATAAGATTAATCTTTACAATAAGCATGTCTTATAATTTTAGTTTTAACTTAGGTTTCTGTTAAAACCTAACAGAGATGGGTAGATGTATTCTTTGAAGAAGCTTTTGTACAAGCTACCATACCCTTTAGAGAATGTTTTTGTATAGCTGACCTTTGTAAAGAGAAAAGGTTACAACAATCAGATCTGCACATACCAGCTCCTAGGGCTTCACCAGTATTCTTTTTGGTTTACCTGGAAACAAAGTTGATTAGTCCTAATTTCAAGATCCCTCATATAATTCTGTTGCCTTGAATACATATACAAACTGTGCATTCAGTCTGTATGTATACAAAGCCTCCTTCTTGCAGAGTTTACAGCTGCTTTGCTACATTGGCAAAACTGTAGCATAGGTATCATTGGTACTTAAATTGTAGACTGTTTAATTAACCATGATTTGTATACCAAAAGACTGAATCCAACTGTTGAGGTGCATTTGCTGTAGGTGCTTAGAATGTAAAAGTACTTTACAAAATCAGCTATAGCATGCCAAGACTGAATTCAAGTAGACCTGGATGTTTATGCTGTGTTTCCGTCTGATTACACATGTATATACATACCTCTCTTGCTTGCATCCTTGGGAAGCATTATTGGATTTAGAATAAATACTCAGATTTGATTTTTAAAAAATAGTAATGATCTCAGTTTCATTCTGTTTTTGTGGGTGATAGTTTTTGTATGTGGTTTGGGGGGGGTGTGATTTTTGGGGTCTGATTTTTTTTTTATTTTTTTTTAAGAATAACTGAGTCTGAAAAAATTAGTTGACAGCACTGAGTTTAGTTAGGGTAATATAGTGTATTTGGTAATAAAATACAAAGGAATCATGTATTTGTTTATTCAGTGTATAAATCCCGATTTTCCTTGTAGGTTTCCAAATGCGGGAAAATCATCCTTGTTAAGTAAGGTTTCTCATGCCAAACCTGAGATTGCAAATTATGCATGTAAGTTCACACACTTATTTTTAGAGCAGTGTTACTTCATGAGAGCAAAAAGTCTTTTCTCTGACTTGGTTTGCAGGTTTATAAAAAAGACTAAGGTATAACCATGTTGCCTGTCAGATATGTTACACAGATTTTTAATTATGAGAAATACTCCAAAAAGAGACTTGCTGTTTCAGTGTCCAGTTCCTTTAACAACCTCAGGTTTTTATGTGTGCCCCCTCATAGTGCTTCAACCTATACTGAAGTTCATGCAGGGTCTATTTAATATTTATTTTAGTCTCAGCCCATTTAATTGCATCTGAGACTCTATGCTGTGTAATGTCCTTTGTCTACTAAACATGCACCACCAAGTTCCTTTACATAAACATCTTGTATGGTTTGGAATTTGCTACCACCTGTTCTTCCAGTGAAGTAAGATTTTGTTTTTGAATCTCTTCACTGAAAAATGGACAGAAATCTTTCTGCTGTTTTTCTATCAGTAAATCAGGTTTAGTTGTCTGATCATTTTTAAATTAAAAAGCAAGAGTACAAATACCAATAATTCCTACTGATCTTGGACCACTCCTGATTCAGTGTAGCCTTTTCATATTTTAACTTCGTTTGAAGAGTCCTGTTTCACTTTGCCTTTTGTTAATTTTTTTTCCTCTTTGGAAGCTTTTCCGTAGTTTGGTTGATAACTTTTGTGTCTGAGACTTCCTCCCATCATCCCTTTTTGGGATGACAGGACAGAACTGAAAGGGTGCCAAGACTTGGCTAGCCACTGGTTTTTGGGTGGTCTGATTTTGTTATCTCTTGGTTTGCTTTTTTTTATTCCTTTTCCAGTAATTTTTAAAATTCCGTTTGCCTTGTTTTTTGCTGCTACTATTTGTTTAATTTAAATAAGTCCCACAACATTTAAATGTTTTGTAACATGAGCATCTTTAAAAATGTAAAAAACAGTTTCGTTTTCTTTCCCTTCTCTTTTTCCCTTGTCATAGTTACAACAATACAGCCTCAACTGGGTAAGATCATGTATGCGGATTATAAACAGGTTGGTATGAAAGTTCATTCTGGTTGTTCATTAAAGTTGTGTATAATATGTTGCTTAACGTCATTGCAGAAAGAAAAGGGAAGCCTGTAGAGTTTTTTCGTATGTGTATCTATAATGTATACATATAAAAGGCAATTACATGCACTTAATGAGAGGTGTGAAGAAAGTGCTATTTTTATGAAATAAGAGACCCTAATAAGAGAGCTTTAAAGCCAAATGCTAGTATGTAGTATGAGGTTGAGCTAACTTCAAGTCACTTTGGAAAATGGCTTCTTATTTTCCCTTGTCTCCTTTCTGTGGTTCTAATCCTGTTTTATAACCTTAGAGTTGTGAACTTGTGTGTGAAACTGAGATTGCTGTGTTCTAACTCTTGTTCAGGACTTCAAAAAAAATCATTGTTTCCGAGACTAACCTGTTATTTTTATTTAGAAGAGGCAGATTTTAGTCAGGTTGACTATACAGAAAGCTCTGGAATGAATAAGTAATTTTAAGAGCAGATTTTAAACAGTGGCATTATTTGTCCAATAGCTGCAGATCTGCAGTAGTGAATGACAGGGAATTTAGCGACTGTAACTCAGTTACTGTAACTTACTGTTTTGGCTTTCTAGGTTGGCTGGTCTAACTTTCATTTGAGTTTTGGTTTGCCCTGAGCTTGCTGTTTTGGTTTTTGGTTTGGGTTGTTTTATTTAGTTGTTTCTTTGGTTTGTGAATTTTGTTTTTTGTTTTTGTTTTTCTGTTGGGGGGGGGCATTTTGGGGGTTATTTTATTTGTCCATTTTCCTGGTTTTTAATAAAAAGCATAAAATAGTATGAAGTGATGACAGCCCGAACAGCCAGGATAGTGCACAACCTAAGGGGTAAGGTAGCTGCGTCCAGTTCCTTTTGTTGTACCTCTGGAGGACTGGTGAAGCTACTGCCAACCACTCTAATTTTTGTGAACCCAAATTCCACCCAGCTATTTCAGGTAACTGTGGTGCCTGGAATCCTTTCTACAGTATCCACTTGTGGGAAAACCAGTGCTAAATGAGACTCTTACTAATAGATTTTGGACCACAAGTTTACGTAAGGTTGCAGCAAACATTTTCATTCCTCAAGCTTGAATGTTCTTTGAAGTGCTTTTATTTTGTCTTTGAAGGGTATGATATATGCAGTACTGGACTTATCATTTGCAAGATTAAAGACAAATGCATAAAAGGTTTTCAGATGAGTTAACCAGAAAAGCATACTTCTCAGATGTGAAAAGACAGAAAACTCTTCACTTTCAGAAGCAATAATCTTATGGGGTTCAGTAGCTGATGCTTGAAACCTTCAGTAACATCCTTTTACAAAGCTGTGTATTAAAGGAAGTAAGTCTTGTTTGTCAGGTTCCCTGTAGAGATGCAAACATCTAAGGGAATTTTTTTGTATGTCCATTTTATCTGCTGGTTTAGAGTAGTTTGTCCTAGAAAGCTTGGCTGCAAATAACAGGATTGTTTATAGTGTTTTGAAAAACTACCCTCCTGCCGTGAATCAGGACCTCTTGCTCTTACTGGTTTATCTTTCTCCAGCAGAACTACTTGCACTCCTGGCTTTCTTTCCTGCAGTTTGTCTCGTACAGAATGACCCTACTGTTGGCTGTTTTCTGCAGTTCATGCTTTTTATAGTAGAATGTGGGTGCTATATAGGAGCTATATGGACAAAAAAAATCTTCTCTAAATTCAGGGGAACTAGGGATTTGTGATTACAGGGAACATTGGTGAGTAAGAGGAAGTACTTCAGCTCTGAGTATTGCAACTGCTGACAAGAAAACCGCGTAATTAAGAGCAATAATTGAGGTGACTGTTCTGGAGCATTCAAGGGAGAATGGCTCATTATATCCTCTTTTTTTTTTTTTTTTAATTCAGAACATGGATGGTTTTTTTAAGGAAATAGGTAGCAATTTGCTTATTTTATCTTAGAACATTTTGAAATAGAAATTACATGCAAGTTACCTGGTTCTGTGTGTCATTGCTACTTGGAAAAGACACAAAATAGAGGACCTGAGTAAGAAGAGTCTGGATTCAGATCTTAATACCAGATCATGGAAACTAGCAGAACCATTTTCATCATCTACCTGAATATCTGAACCAAGTGCTGTTTTGAGAGAATATGAGGGGCTTTTTGTGAGCTCCATAAAATATACTCGTTGAAAGAGAACTGAAGCTGGGGGAAAAGCTGCTTTTGATGGGACTACAGCACCCAAACCCATCACACCAGGAAGTGGAAGTTTCTGTTCTAACTCTCCAGTTATCCTCTCTCTGTTTCTAGTTATAAGCGTGTAGTTCATCCAGCTGTATCTCATGTCTTATTTTCATGGAAAATTCTGAAGGAAGGCTTCAAGTATTTAGGAAATGCATAATAGTTAAAAGTTAGTGTAACACGAACGGGAGTGTAACTCACTCATAGCAGAAATCACTCTTCTGCCATAGGTGGCACACTGGAAATTTTGTTTGCTGGCTTAGGGTATTGTTCAGTTGAATACAGTTGCTGTCTAAATGGGTATTTGTTAGATTTGATGACCCTACTTTTGTTCTTCTTTGCCTCGCTGTCTTAGCTTTCTGTGAGTTACTGAGTAGATATTTGGGGCTTTATTATACTGCTCTTTTTTGGCTGTCTCAGCTGTCCTTTACAGCTGTGTACAACTCTCTCAGCCAGCACAGCAAATGACAAAATACCTTTCCATCAGGACAGTCTCTGCTGGCTTTGGTTGGAAGCTCATACACGACTGGAACTGCTGGAGGACTGATCCCCCACCCAATTCCAAGGAATACACATACTTGTAAAAGGAGTCTCTCAAAAAAGATATTCCTGACATTCTTTGTCTGGGTTTTTTTATTTGTATAAAATGATAATAGATGTTGATGGTTCAAAGTAACCATTTTTGCTTGTTCAAAATATTTTGTCTGAAACTTGTTTCCCTAGATCTTGGTAGCTGATCTCCCAGGACTGATTGAAGGTGCACATGCAAACAGAGGGATGGGCCACAAATTTCTCAAACATGTAGAAAGAACCAAACAGCTTCTCTTAGTTGTAAGTGAAATAAAATTTACAGCTTATTGAAATCAAAGGCAGTGCAGTAAATAAAATGCATGTTTATTGCAGTATAGTTGGAATTTAGGAAGTAGTTTATAATTTGCATGTTTATGATAAATGTAGCTGCAGTACTGTTTTCAGAATGGAATGCTCAAAACAACGGGTGGTAAATTAAGGCCTTAAATACAATTTAGAATTTAGCCAGTTAATTTAGAGCAGTGAGTTGTTCCAAGTATAATTAAAGCACGGGATGATTTTTATTTTTCTTTATTTCTGTAAGATCCCATAAAGAAGAGGTTTAAGACCAGCTGGTTCATGCTTCCAGTGTCTGTAGTGTTACTTTGATGTATAGTTTCCCGTTATTTCCCAGGAATGAGGGCGTGTACATGGATATTGTACTCCAAGTTAGTTGATGGAGAGTACCTTGGTACTGTAGCATAACTTAATATCACAAATCTTGGTTTTGTGTCACTTTTTCAGGTTGATATTTCTGGGTTTCAGCTGTCTGTTAAGACTCGGTTCAGAACAGCCTTTGAAACTATACTGCTTCTAACAAAGGTAAGTCCTCATCTTCCTAGTTGACGGTTGTAGTTATGTGTAGAGGCAAGAAAGGCTCAGTTTCGATTAAGAACTTTCAAAATGTTAGTGTGTCTTCTGGATTTATAATATAAGGCCTGCAAACAAGCTTAGGCTTCTTCAAAATGATGAAATCTTTATCTTTAACTCCAGGTTAAACTGCTCTATTTTATGTTGGGCACAGCTGCTCCTTCATTAATGTCTGCAGCATATGGGATATTTTTTACAGTCAGGGTGAAAAGACACATGTTCAGTTCCCCAGTCTGGATGAATTTTAGGAAGTAGAAATACATGGGTATAGTTAAATCCCTGCCTTGGTGCCCAGTGGAGATGAGACATCAGGCCCCAGCTGCTCAGATATTCAGTATTTCCATCTCTTACCATTGCTTCTGATTGAAACAAAGCATTTTATGTAATTTCAGATTTAGCACCTGTTTTATCTCTGGCTACACAACTTAAGATGATGAATCTTCTGAATTTCAGTTACTGCTGTTTATTTTTAGCTTACTCATAGTTGTGACTTTATTTCTGATATTAACCATAGTCCACTTAAGTCCTTAAGAATCAGAAAACTCTCCAAAGAATTTCCTTACACATTTTACAGATTTCAGCTTTTTCTGAAATGGATTTTGTGGTTTTGGTTATCAGAAATACAGACCTAAACCTCATTCTTTTTATTGGAGGCTGTTTCAGAATCAGCCAGCCTGTTTACCTGAAATATCTGTGTTTGAACAAGAAGTCACTGAACATTATTTTCTTGCAACAGGTTGCTTTAATACATCCACCTTGAGCACCTTCGCAGCTGCTTAGTCATGAAAGACTGATATCAAATTGAAGTAGCACTTGTTAAACTACAAATACTTATTAAGGCAAATTTACTTACCTTTCAAGGAACTGGAACTGTACAAAGAGGAACTGCTAACAAAGCCTGCACTTCTTGCAGTTAATAAGATGGATTTGCCTTGTGCAAAGGATAACTTGAATGAGCTTATGAAACAACTACAGAATCCTCAAGGTAAATTAACTTCCAATGATTGTGTTCAACAAGTCATAATAAGATTTCATCAGGGGTAACTGCACTGGCAAGGAGTTGTTTGAAGCTGAAGTCAGCTATTAAATTTATTATTTGAACATACGTTTTAAAACCACTTCCTGCATTTAGAGCTCTGTTTATATGCATTTTTTTGTGCTGCCTTTACTGTTGGGGTAGTACTTTAATAAATAGAGATATCCTAGAAGATCTTTCCAAACTATGATAAGGAAGAGTAAATTTCCAGTCTAGGTTATGTTAGATAACAGTAACCTCCGTTTAAGGTCCCCTTACGGACACTGATGTATATAAAATTCTCTGGCCAAAATATGTGAAAATACTGGACAGTCCTATATAGTTTTACTTCGAATTTGCTATTACCTTGGGGTGCATTTCTTCCCTTGAGTGTATAAGAACCAGGAAAGCTTAAAACCATCCATCTTCCAAATCCTGTAACTTGGCATTTCTTTGTACTCATCTTAAAGGAAGGTGTAGAATCTTCTCATGAGAGCATAAGTATAGTTTAACTGTTGTGTTAGTGTTTGTCTTCTAAGCCTTTAGCTATTTTTTTTTAAGATTAAGCAAATAATAACATCTATATTAATTGCAATTATATTTACTGAAATTTGTTAAGAGAGGTTCTCCTTCCCCTCTACTCTGCCTTGGCGAGGCCACATCTGGAATATTGTGTCCGGTTCTGGGCCCCTCAGTTTAAGAAGGACAGGGAATTGCTTGAAAGAGTCCAGGGCAGAGCCACAAAGAGGATTAAGGGAGTGGAACATCTCCCTTATGAGGAGAGGCTGAGGGAGCTGGGTCTGTTTAGCTTGGAGGAGACTGAGGGGTGACCTCATCAATGTTTACAAATATGTAAGGGCTGAGTGTCAGGATGATGGAGCTAGGTTTTTTTCACTGATGTCCAGTGATAGGACAAGGGGCAGTGGGTGTAAACTGGAGCATAGGAGGTTCCATGCGAACATCAGGAGAAACTTCTTTACTGTGAGAGTGACAGAGGACTGGCACAGGTTGCAGAGGGGGGGTTGTGGAGTCTCCCACATTGGAGATATTCAAGGCTCACCTGGACAAGTTCCTGTGTGATGTACTCTAGGTTACCCTGCTCTTGGCAAGGGGGTGGGACTAGATGATCTTTTGAGGTCCCTTCCAACCCTTGGGATTCTGTGATTCTGTGAAAGCTCATTTTCTAAATGCAATGCACTTCTATGGGCTTTGTAGTGATGCACTGTTTGGGGATTGTACTAATTCCTCCAGTATGATTTTTCAGACTACTTACACTTACTAGAAGAAGAAATGATTCCTGCAAATACACTTGAATTCAAAGATATAATTCCTATATCTGCACAAACTGGAGAAGGAATTGAGGAATTAAAAGCGAGTATAAGGAAGTCCATAACTGAGGAAGCAGAGCAGGAGAATGAAGAATATCGGAAAAAGAAACTACTACTTTTACACACTTCAGAAGAACAGATGAATAGAAGATAGTATTTGTGGCTGGATCCAACACATTTTAGTATTTTCCCCTATATGTATGAACCCATTTAATTTTGGTTCCCTTTGCCACCACTGCCCACTTCTCTACTCCCTCCCCCACGTTGGCTCAGTGTCTTTTGGCACCTGGGTAGCGCACAGTGGGGAAAAAAACAGGGTTTTGTGATTTACCTTGACTACCGACTCAACAGAATAAAGACCAAAGTATGTGCAACTCAAAGTATTACTTAACAACTGGTGATCTCTGGAGTATTTTTTGCCAAATGAGATGAATGGAAGGACTATAATCACAGAGGTAGCAAAGGACCAAGTTCAACTACTCCATGTTTTGGAAACACCAGGGGCAATTTCTGGTGGAGCAGGTTTCCAGGTTGTAGTACTTCTAATGTGAACCAGTTCTGCTACTTCCAACAGGCATCAGGTTGGGGGGGGTGTTATTTTTAAAGATTTAAAGGAAACAAAAAAAAATGGCAGCAAGGAAGTGACTTGTACAAGCACAAAAAAGCAAAGCTGATGTGTAATGTTGGGGTTTTACTTCACAGCTGCCAGTGTCTGCTGTAGTACTCCTGAGGATATAAATCCTGATTCCAAATTCCCACCCTTTCATCTGAGATTTCTTCCTTTTATGGAATTGTGGGTACACGTTACTTTTTAGTGAAGGAAATGATAACTGCTTTTCAACAGTTGGGGAATAGTTTATGTTCCAGCTGGCATGCATTTTATTTTTGGAAAAAAATAATAAAAAAGAAACCAAACAAGCTTCTTATTGTATGGGATGTTTTCTATTTCAGTGGTATTAAATTGATTGCAAAGCAGCATATGACTGAATGCATCAGCGGATTCCCAACTTGGTTTGGTTTGGTTTTGTAAGCGCACTTCCCAAACCCTGCTTCTCTAAATTTTGTTAAAGCAGTCACTGGTAAGAAGGTGTGATTTATTATGATCCAATTCTGTTATCATTTAGTACTGGTTCTTACTCCTATTTTCCTCTAATTTTACTCTCTGTGAGGCTAGCATATTTTCACCAAAGTAAAGCATGGGCTGTAGACATTTATTTCATTGTTGAAAATAACATGGGGGTTTTCTGTCAGATTTCTTGAACACTGGTCTAATCTCACACATAAATGAGGGGGGGGAAGGAGTGCGATGAGAACAACCTTGGCTTTAGTTAAGCTGTGCATGAAGAGTTGTGATGAATAGGTATGGTGTACAGTAACTTGTAGGTTAAGGTAAACACCGTTTAATAAGTAAAGGAAAGAAAGCACCGGCAGCAAACGCAGGCGCTCCGAATCTACCACGGCCGGGCCGGTACCCGGCCGCCCTCCCGCGTAACAGCTGCTTTAGGCAGCAGGCAGCGGCTCCTCGAACGTTAACGACGTAGCCGCCGTACGTAAGGAGCGTGTTTACAGCGCCGCCGTACGTAAGGAGCGTGTTTACTGCACCGCCTTTTCTTTCGCGGACCCCGTGGGGCTCGCAACCGCGGGGAGCGAAACACGCCCCCTGCAGGGGCCGCCCCGCGCACCGACTACCGCGCCGAGGGGCACGCTGGGAGTTGCAGTGCGGCCGTGGGGGCTGGCGCTGCGGCGGTGTTGGAGTAAACCCGCAGCCCCGCCGCGGCCTCCCGAGAGCCTGAGGGGAGAGGCGGCCCTGGCGGGCGCAGGTCGAACCGTGCCGCGGCGATGGTGCCTTCGCTCCGTGGCCCCGTGCCCTGACAAGAAGGTGAGCGCAGGAGCGGGCACTGGGGGTGGTGGCAGCGGCTGCCGGGCCGTAAAAGGGCTGATGGGCCGGCCTGCTCCGCCGCTGTTGAGGGGGCTTCGCTGTCGGTAGGCCGGCGGCGGTGGCTTCGGTGCCTCGCCCCAGTTGGCAGTGCGATAGGTGGGGAGCACAGGAGACCTGGTGGTGGTTGGCTTTTGCCGGGCAGGCAGGGCAGCAGCTGAACCTCTCGGGGGGGGGGGGGGGGGGTTGTGTTTTCCTTTTCGGCCTTGGCTGTCGTCATCTGTTTTTCCCAAATCAGATGGAGCCCGTGCTACAAGTCATGCTGGAAAATGCTAATGGGAATGCTAATTCGAATCCTGTGCATCTGGATTTAATTTTAATAGGAATTTTGTAAGTCTTGGACCTGTGTGATGGATTTCCAGAAGAAGAAAACATGACTGGTGGCACTGATTCTGTACCCGTTACTTGCAGTTGTCTTGAAACAGGATAGCTGTTGGTCTCCAGTTGCAGGTGGTCAGTTATACAAAACTCATGTTGATTTTTTTAAACTGATAACACTGTTGTGGATAGGTAGAGAATGTGTGTTTATAAATTGTTCTTAGTGTGACCTCTCCTGCAGAGCTTTACAGAACAGCAGTGGTCTTCTTAGGGCTGTGCAGGGGAACAGAACTGGCCTTACTCATCACTGAATTATGTCTCTAGTAAAGGCCTTTTTTTTTTTCCTTCTTTGCCTAATATTTGTAGCTTGTGAGTAGTTAATGATCTCTACCAGGTTTTAACCAGCTTCAGCAAGCATCTCTTGTTACAGCAGCATAGATCTTCAAAACAGGAGCTGTGGCAAAATCTGTCCCTGTAGTGGTATGAGGATTGGTAATGGTGGTGGATAGGATACAAAAGCCTTGAATATTAAAGCTGTAAGATCCTTGGAATATACAAAGCTTGTGTCTAGAATCCAGGACAAGACAGGGTTTTGTCTGCCCTAGCCAGAGTGTGCTTTCTTTGCTTGGACAGCTGGTTCAGAAGTGGCTGAGGTCCTTACCTGTGCAACACCACCAGTGACAGAGAATAAAGTCAGATGGACTAAACAGGTAGAGGAAGATAAAAGAAACTCCCATGTCTAGAAATGGAGGACTTTCAGAGTTAGATGTTGTAGAATATTCCATACCTGCTCTGTATCTATTTGTTACAACAGCTGGTGGCCGCAGGTTATCATTTAATGGGAGGGAATGTTGGGATGGGCAAGGCTCCCTTTCTGACACATTTGTTTGCCAGTACTAATTTTCTACTTGATTATGGTTGTTACTGATTATGACTGGTATTTTGGGGTGTGACCCTGCAGAGGGAGATCTACATGTTTATCTTAGCTTTGGTTGCTACTAAATGCACAGAAAACTTAAAATTGCTGAGAAATACTAGTGAATAAAAAGAGCTGCTCCAAGCTGAGCAGTAATGCTTTTTTGAGACTCAAAGTTAAAAAAATACTCTGCTCTGCTGCTTCTCCAAATGCAGCTGAGAGCGTTGCTGCTGACCTCTACAGCCTTGCATAGTTAGTGTCCCCAGATTGCTGTGTTTACTCATAGCAGCCTTGGCTGATTAAGTTGGTAGTGGAAATGCTTGATTTGATTTTTGTATGCATTTCTGTGACTTACATGCAATAGCATTCATACTGGAGGACTCCAGACTTGGAAATGCACTTTCTTGTTTAATGAAAGATAGGGGTTGCATGAGCGTGTGCTGTCAGGTCTCTGTCTTGCCTAGATGGCTTGATAGAATAAATTCTTTGATGTTGCTACACATCTGACACTACACATACATAAATGTTAGATTATTTCAGGATTCGATATAGGTTATTTAAGAGAAATTCAGTGTCTTTGTACATGTTAGTACAGCAAACTCACCTTTAGATTGTAGCTCTTAAGAGTCACATAATGACATCCTTGTAGGTCTGACATCATCCAGCAGAAAAGCTGTTTTCCCATTATGATCTGCATAATTGCTCCTGGGACTCAGTGGTATGGATTTCATATGGGTGTAAAAAATAAATAAATAAATAAAATCCTTTATCTTCCTCTGGGAAAGCTAGACAGCCATTGAAGAGGCATCATCAGTACTTCCCTTGTGGAGAAGCCAGGAAGGAATAGAGAACCACAAGTATATAAACAGTTCAGAGTCTGTGTTTTGTTCTCACTAAAAACAATTGCATCCCCTTCTCCCTGCTGTTTAAGTGCAGCCTGGAACCTAACATCTGAAATAATAATTTTACGTGACTTGGTGTGTTTGGGGGTTTCTTTTGTTAGAAACATAAAACCCGAGGATCTGAAAACCTTTGTGTCTTGAAACACCCTTGAGAAAGGGAGCTGTTTGCACCCCTCTTATCTGTTCCATACAGAGATGAGTAGATAGAGAACATGCTCCTGGGGAAAGGGAAAATAAATGTAGTTTTAGCTTTGTTTTTTAAATAAGAGGAAATTGTAGAAAGGTGCTGAAGTCAGCCTAATGTGAGCATATCTGAGATTCCTTATTTCTGAATTACAGCGTTAAACACTGTTGCTTGAAACAAATGCGTGAAACTAATATGATGCTGACACTCTCTTTGTTCTATTTCTTAGATCCAGTAACTCCTGTCTTCCTACTTCTAGAAGTTGCTACGGTTTCTCTTGATTTGAACACACTGTTGGTAAGTACATTGGATCAGTCTTAATTAAGGCAACATCTGTTTTGTTACTGACTTAATCAAGGACATGTAACTGAAGCTGTGATTACAGCCATAAAGCTAGCAGCTTTGCAACATGCAACAGCATTCCCTCAGATGGAGTGATCATGGGTAACTTACCTACAAATTCACTTTCCGTTGATACCTCTAATGGGAAAATTAATTATTTTCTATGTCTTTCCTAAGTCAAGAGAAGCACTAAGGACTTTTTAATTTTATTAAAAAGAAAAACCAAAACAAAACAAAGAAACAAACAAAACCCCCCAACCCCCCCCCCGAAAAAAAAAAAAAGTAAAACGAACCCAAAACAACCACCAACAACAACAACAAAAACCCTCAGCCAACCAAATCCCAACAAGCCCTCAGCGAAGCCCAGCCAAAATCCCTACCCTGCATTCCTGGTGTGTCTACCAAAAATAAAGTATGCAGGGTGGTCTAAAGCACTCTTGGCAACCATAGGATGACCTACAGACTAAAGTCTTCTGTCTGTATAACTGGTACAGCAGAGGTAATGGAAAAATACAAATTTCCCCATGCTGGCAGTGTAGTCCTTGCCATAAGTGTACCTTGGTGACACAGAAGGAAAGAAAATACCCCCTTTTTTCTCATCTACCGTCTTGTATTAGAGAATACGGATGGACCTCGCATCTCTTTTTGCCCACCCTGCATTAACTCCGCCCAGATTTTCATAATCTACCTTTGCAAATGAATTTGGACAAACCGTGGGTTTCTGAAAATGGCTGCTCCTGTGCTTATTCCAGCTGCTTCCAGTATCTGTGGAAATTCCTCAT